AGATAGATAGATAGATAGATAGATAGATAGTGATATTGTTGGCCTGGACTACAATCCTCCAGATCCTATCCTCTTATATAATAAGGCTTATAGACCCATTTGCATCTGGCTATAAAATATGTAAGTTATATTGTGTCTCTGGGTCTAGAGGTTTCAGGAACCTATCAAGCTGATCTCTGTAGTTGATTTCTTAGCTTTTCAAAAGTATTCTCGGGGCTGGGAAGGTGGCTCAGTGGTAGAGTGCTTGCCTTGCATGCCTGGGGCCCTGGGTTCGATTCCTCAGCACCACATAAGCAAAAAGAAAAAAGCCGGAAGTGGCGCTGTGGCTCAAGTGGTAGCGCGCTAGCCTTGAGCTGAAGAGCTGAGGGACAGCGCCCAAGCCCAGAGTTCAGGCCCCACGACTGGACCCCCCCCAAAAAAAAGTATTCTCAAAGGAAGAATTCAAATATTGGAATGAATTTTTTTTTTTTTTTTGCCAGTTGTGGGGCTTGAACTCTGGGCCTGGGCGCTGTCCCTCAGCTCTTCAGCTCAAGGCAAGCACTCTACCACTTGAGCCACAGCACCACTTTCAGTTTTCTAAGTGGTTAATTGGAGTCTCATAGCCTTTCCTGCCCAGGCTGGCTTTGAACCGTGATGCTTAGAATTCAGCCTCCTGAGTAGTTAGGATTACAGGCATAAGCCACCGGCTGGAAAGAATTTTTGAACATGAACATAAATTGTATTTTAAAATAAAAAATTTCAGAGACGAGAGAGCAGGCCCTGGATGAACAAACAGGATGGTGTGTTTTGCTGCTGGTGATTCACTTTGGATAGCCTGGCTTGTGGTCAGGTGATCCGCCTGGAAGAATCAGCTGATTCTGTGTTTGTCTCAAAACGTGTTGTCAATTAAGTCTGCAGCCCCAGGGCTTCCCTTGTTGAGAAAGTCACTGAAATCTACTTGCTTCAACCAACCTTGTGCTGGAGGAGACAATCAGACACAACAGCCACCCTATGTCCCAGACAGAGGAGGGAAAGCAATTCAACCCCTTGGTAATTATCTATGGCACCGGTCTGAGTTCTTCAGGTCTTACACACTATGTGCACCAGGCTGGAGTCCTGAAGAGGGAAGGGGAAAAAAAGGAAGGAAGAAAGGGAAAGGAAAAGGAATGGGGAAGGGAGCAACTCCTGTATTTCATAGTAAAAAAGATTTTAAACTATATTCATCAGGAATGGTTTTCTAACTGGGAGAGAGTGAGGGAAGGGGTGACATTGCCCACAAAGAAATGTACTTATTACCTGACTTATGTAAGTGTAATCCCTTTGTATATTACCATAACAGTAACAAAAGAAATTTTTAAAATTTAAAAAGAGTAGTTTTCTATGCCAGGTGCCAGTGGCTCATGCCTATAATCTTAGCTATTGAGGAGGTTGAGATCTGAGGATCACAGTTTGAAGCCAGTTGGGGCAGAAAAGTTCATGAGACTCTTTATCTCCATTCAACCACCAAAAAGCTGGAAGTGAAGCTGTGGCTTAAAGCGGTAGAACTTTTGCCTTGAGCAAAAAAGCCAAGCAAAAACACAAAACCCTGAGAAAAAGTCGTAGAACTGGTGCAAGAAAAAAGCAATTCTTTTAAAAAGATGGTTCTCGGGGCTGGGAAGGTGGCTCAGTGGTAGAGCGCTTGCCTTGCATGCTCAAGACCCTGGGTTCGATTCCTCAGCACCACATAAGCAAACAGAAAAAAGCCGGAAGTGGCGCTGTGGCTCAAGTGGTAGAGCGC